ATACTAATACTGATATTAAAAGCAAAAACAAATTAATAGTTCCCATGTTTAAAGCAGGGAAGGAAGGAGGAGAGAAAGATGGAGAGCAGAAAAGAGTATAGGGATTATACACGACAGCCCTTTAAGCTAACAAGTCAGCAAGCACAACTACTGGAGAAGACTAGAAGCCCTGATGATTGTATATGGATTCCTCAGATCATCACCATCTTTACCTGAAAAATAACAGCTAGATCTGTGTAAGTGATGTGCAATGCCAGGGAAGGCCGTGTGCATCATTCTGGCTTCTCTTCTTGTTTCTGGGTAGAAAATCTATTCCTGAGGAAGGTACCATTTTGTTTTATCCAGAACTTAAAGCTTCTTAAATTCTTTGGGAAAAGTGATGGGGGGTTAAATGAAGAAGTGCTGTTTGCAGCTTTCAGAACTGAATTCCAGAAACAACAGATTTAGAGTAAATAACGGCCCTGAGCTTCCCAGGATTTCATGTTGGCCTTTCTGTGGAAATAACAGGGCACCTAAGCTCAGCTTCAGGCTCTCAGCTGTCCAGCTTTTATAGCACAAAGCCTGGCTAAAACTACAACTCCCTTTCTAACACAGCTTTTGGTGCCACATTGTGATGCTTGTTTTAATAGAGAAGAGCCTGCCAGATAAAATGCCCCTTGCAGAAATTCCCTACTAGGTTTCCCTGAATCTGCATCTCATATAAACTCAGAAATGCTATGGGAGACCATTGAACTCAATGTTGCTGCAGAAGCAACAGGCTTTAAACTGAACAGAAAAACATTTAGCAGGTTGTAGCCTTGTTTTTCTTAAGTAAATTATGAAGTTAATAATCTACATTTTTTCCCCTTAATTTAAAACTGTGTTTTTAATGGAAAATGCTAGTGGAAAGAATCGAGGCCATGAAACCATTCAACTACAGAAGGTCCCAACCCCCCCCAGTCTCACCTGGTCACTCTCCAGGACAGAGCGGACCCGCTCATGGGCCTTGTACAATTCATGCCTGCGGTCGGGCTTCTCCTGGAATCGAGGTATTTTTTTAGCAGGATCATGGTCACCAAAAGAAGGAGACTGCACTTTTGGTACTAATTTGACATCATCGACAAAAATAAAGGGTTTAAATATGGACCTGAAAGAAAAGAGAATTACTGCTTGCAATAATCTGAGAGGTTTTCTGTATACTATCCAACTCTTCACCTAGCCCGTTGTAAAATAGCACATACAGAAGAGCACAGGAAATGCTAACAAGCACAAATGATGTTAGCAAGCTGGCACTGGCCACAAGCAAAGTACACATAAAAAGAACTAGCTCTGCCAATTATTGTATTGCACTTTTTAACTATTGGCAGCATTACTTGCCTTCACACCACTTCTACCACTTCTTTAGCATTGCCCTTTCCAAGTTTTTTTTTTTTTTTTTTTTTTTTTTTGTGCATGTTTTAGTGTTCAGTCCCGAATCATTTCTCCTCTGTTTGTACTGCCAATCCCCTTCCTCCTACCCAGATCTAATTCTCGTGAACTCCTTAAAAATTCTTAGTACATTCGGAAGCTCGTGCACCCCCGCGCTTCCTTGTGTCCCCACAGCTGAAGTCTCTATGCGAGTTCTTTGTCGATGTACACAAATCGCCTAAAGCCAGAGAATTTAAAAATCACATACACACACACGTACATAGTTGTGTGGAGAAGAAAAGACTACACAGCCTGCTTGGTACCAGAAGATTTGGTGTATGAGCTGCAGCATTGAAAAGGTTTATGACAAGGCAAGAATAAAAGCCCAGCTATCAGCATGGTGACACTTCCCAAGCAACTGAGCTTGGATCTGAACTCAGAGCAGAACTCCAGATTGAAACTTGGTCCTAAGAGAGAGGGAAGATCCCATCTTTCAAAGGCGAGGGAAATCAAGGATCTCTCTCTCACGAATCTGAAAGAAGAGTCTTCCCAAATGCATGGAGAAACTGCCTTCCTCTTTGACATACATTGAAACAGCACCCTCCCCTCTGCAGTGAAGAAGGTGCCAGCAGTGCAAGACGGCTGCAGAGCAGGATTAACAACCACCACCTGCACAGTCAGCAGACTCACTGCTGCTGCCCTCTCCGTCACTGCCAGGACCCTTGCTGACTAAGAGCAGCATGAGTCACCCTCTGCAGGCACAATAATGCTTTTTTAATGCATTAGAGTATAAAGTAAAGGTATGCCTCTAGTCAGTTTTTTAATAAAGAAAGGTGGTCTGTCTAAGAAAACTACAGAAATCCCACACCAGAACAGTTTGAAGCCCTGTTGCTTTATTACCCAAATGAATTTGCATCAAGCCAAGGGAAGTTTTGGCAAGCAAGATCAAATCCCTTAGCCCTGAAGACATGCAGAGCTCACGCGAGGCAGGAGCCCCCGCTGTGCCCCTCACACCACCAGCAGCCTCACCAGGACCAGCAGCTCTTCTCCCACAACCTCCATGTTCTTCTCCCCAGAACTTCTCTACCTCCACACAAGGGGCAGATCTCCTTAACAACTGCAAGAGCTTTAGTTTAATTTTTGCAAATGACAGGTGGGTTCTGGTTAAAACACAAGATAAACAGTTAGTTCTTTGATGATCTGGCCCAGCACTTCCCTTATCTCTGCGGCTCTCAGGAAAATACATCATTAAATCAATGGAAATTGTCCTTCCACTAAAAATCACACTTGGTATATCTGGGACTTTTCTGACATTCAGATGTTATACGAGCTACCCAGGTACACACTCCCTCTTTGCTAGTGAGGCTCTTGTTCAGATTTTACACTCATGTGTCCAAAAGAAGTAACTGAAATTGCCCACAACCCTTTTAATTCAACCAACCCAGGCCACGATCTCAGATATAGAAACAGAAGGCTCCTACACTTGGGTCTCTATAGGGGAGGCCGTAAAGCTCAAGAGCCCAACAGCCAAGCAACCACAGACTCCGATGGCAAAAACATACCCCTTCATGGAGGCTTCACTGCCTCCCTCTCCTCCTCCAACGGGAATCTCATCCAAGCACATTAAAAATCCTGACAAAAACGAAGTGTCACATTAAGCCAGCAGCATGCTGTACATCACAGTCTTGGGCTTATGAGCTTATTTTTTATTTTAAACTAATTTCTCCTAATTCCAGTGTTTTCCTTCTGCATGTATTACACACTGAGAGAGCAGGAACATCTGGATGCAGAAAACAAGAGCCACACACTATCACCCGGCAGCTAAACGAAAGGACTGCCCTCAGATTTCTATGAGCTATCTTCATTTCACTTTAAAGAATGAAACACCCTGAAGCTTATAGAAGCCGATTGCTTCTTAAGCTATAAGCACAATTCAAAGAAATTTAAATGGCCTTTAATTCCTTGAGCAAAATGTAACCTCAGCTTTTTATTGTTGTTTGCTTGTTTTCCTGTTGGGCCCACTTTCTTTAAAGGAGATGTCTCCCTAACAGGGATCACTTCCATTGCGATTCCCTTTCCAACGCCCAAAGCGAGCACACCAAACAGCTCAAGTGTCAAAGCAAATACACATTCAACTACAGACCAAATGGATACTTTTTCACCAGAAATCAGCCAAAATAGATTCCCCCCGCCCCACCTCAGCTTTACTCAAAATTTCAACTTCATCTAAGATTCAGGAGAGATCCATAAATACACCCCATAATTTGAAAAACAAAACAAGAGACTCAAAGAGTAGCTAGACGATGACAGGCAGGGTATTTGAGAGGGCTGAATTCATGGTTAGCCTGCTTGTGAGAAGACTCTGCCAATGATTCCTAATAGCTGCTATCCACAAAAATCCTTACCCAAGTTCCTACCTCTTTCTCCCCCCCACTACCACCCTAAATCCTACACTAGAAATCTTCCAGAGTGAAAGAATCCATAGATTTGTTCCCAAGCAATAAACAGCTCTGAAAGAAACTGGTGTTATTTCAATAGAGAAAATAGCCAGAAAAGTCCCAAGCTGCAGCCTCTGGTATAGAAACAGACTCCTACAACTGGAGAGGCTTTAAAGCTCAAGAGCCCCCTCAATTGTACAGCGCTATGGGCTCTGTGAGCAGGTTATACAAGCATAGCACATTTTCAACTTGAGAATCGCATTAGTGTCCCTAAAAAACATTTGCTCGCCACAATTTTGTGTCATCTGAGCTTAATGGGATGTTACAGTAAGTGATGCCATTCTAATCCTGCCTGGCCTGTTAAACCTTCTTGTTAAACACTGGTGTTTTAGTCAGCCATGGCTTCTCTTGACCTCCTTACACACCCTTTCTGCTTTCATGCTAAGGGGACGGGTACAAGAAGCAGCAAAGATCCCCTTCAGCAGCACCAAGTGGTTCCAGGCAAAGAGAACTCTTAAAATGTGAGAGCAAGGCAAAGAGTAGCTTCCTACGAGCTCCTAGGAAGTGACTGTGACTGCCCAAACTACCTTTGGGCCACCACAGCTCCAGGTCTGGGAGCAATCCTGTGGGCTCTCAGAACGTAGTTTCCTAGGCAAGAGACAACCCTGTTGGCACAACTCTAAAGGCCTCTGGGAAACAGGCAGGATGGTAGAGACACCTCTCTCTTGTTCAAATCTGCTAACAGAAATTGTTCAGCAACCTTCAACCCGTCAGCTACGCTGTGCCCAGAGGAGCTGCCAACGCTGTCCCGTACCGTGAAGGGTCCGGCGTGCCAGTGAAGTAGTGAACACCCGGAGAGCTGGGGTCCTGCGGCAGCACGGACACGAAGCTTGCTGTGGTGAGGCACGCAGACACGCTCTCCTTGTCACGCAGCACGTCAATCATGGTCTGTGCAGAAATGTCACCTGCACGGGGAGGGAACAAAAGCAACAAGACGCTCCGAGTATTCAATGGCTCCGGTGGCCAGGGGGGGGTGGGGTCCGCCTAGGGTCTCTAGAACTAGTAAGAACAGCAACATCCAGCAGGAGCCTGTCACAAATCCCAGTTAACAGTTTCCATTTAAACAGTGTGAGCCCAGAATTAACTTGCTTAACCAGTGAAAAGGGACAGCATGAAGCATTAGTTAGGCATTTCAAAGGTTGGGTAGAGAGCAATCCCTTTAAAAAGGTATTTTTCGGGAAGACCATTGGCTCTCAAGCTTTGAGACACGGCCCCGAGGGCTTCGGGCAGCACCCTGGCATGCTGAGGGTCCCGCCCCATCGCCGTCCATGAGAACCCCGGCTTCCAGGATGCCTCCTGCACACGTCACAGCTTTCTCCCCATGCGCCCCCTGTTCTCTTGCCCCACTTCCTAGGCAAGAAAGGCCTCCTCCCCAGCAGGTCCCCAGAACCCTGGCCTGACTGACCCTTCCAGGCAAACATGGGCCCCTCAATCCACAGAGCACATGGAACAGCCCTCCACGTCTGGGAGATTTGCAGCCATAAGCACGTGTTTGAAGTACCCCTCTGGAGTTTTAGTGCTATAACCCAGTTTTGCTAGGACTTTTCAGCTCTTCAAAGTTACTGTTGCTGCCCTCAGACACAAACTACACCAATTCTAGCCTTAAAGAGGAACTCTCTATTGCAAGAAAAATTTCACCTCTAGACTCTCCTTGACATTTTCCAACCATCTAGTAAATACGCATCTTTTAGTAAAAGCCTTTAAAAGATAACTCGTGCCATAGGGAGCAGATATCTGTCAGCTACGCACTGCTGCTGGCTACAGCCATCTCAGAGCCATTTGGGCCAGAGCAGCGGCCTCAAGTCATTAATAAACTTTGGTCAGGAGGCAAACCCTGCCTTTGGCTGAAGGCAATTGGCCCATTATCTGCTCTGGTAATTTTGTTCTGCTCGATAATGAAAAATGAAGTCACTAGTATTCCTCTTCCTTAACCAATGGTATTAACTCCTTCCAAAATGTCAAAATAAAAATCTGGGAACATGGTATCCATTTGGATCAAGCTCTCATATACAAGGCAATGTTTTCTAATATGAGCCTCTATAATTAAACTAAAGCGCAGATGCAGTGGCAATAAATAAAATTATTTTAGAACTGCAATCCTGTTTTAAAACTTTGACCTTGTTAGAGATTAATGGCTTCACCCTAAACTGGGGCAAGTTTAGGGACAAGCTTTAGCTCTGGTCCTCCTTTCCACTCATTTTACCTATAGAGATATTCTTCCCCAGCACCTGCAGTTCTGGACAGAGTGTCTGAGTTCCAGCAAGGAGAAAGGAGTCACTGGCATTCCCCGTGCACACACAGGAAGATGCTTCACTTACCACCTCGTTTTTCTAGGCTCTCCCTGCCAGAGCAGCAGGTTACATGGTCATCGGCCCGAGAGAACACTTCAGAAAAATTGAAGTCTGTGTCTCCGTTCCACCAGCCTTGACTTCTCACGTAATTCCTCAGTTCAGGATGCTCAGCATCAATTTTTGTAGTTAATGAAAGCTGATTGCAAATGCATTTCACCCCCTCTACAGAAACAGCCACACATCACAAGAAATCATTAATACAGTTTTCCTGGGAGAAGCTAGAAGGACAAAATAATTGCAATTAGGAAACCTATTAAACCACTGCTTAAGATGCACATTTGGCACAGCTGGGTGACTACACACGTACAGAGCAAGCAGTAACTGCAGGTTTTGCAGCTCGATTCTCTGTGCTGCGTTTAGTCACTCACGCTGCCTGCTGATTGAGAGAGCCCCTGGTCAATATGGCAGTTCTGCGGGTGCTCCATACAGCCTGGTCCTGAAGTAACAGGAATCACCACCCTGGCAGGTTCAGCTGTGGTGTTAAGGGCACACAAGCCTCATCTTTCCTGCAACGATGGTTCCCTACGTTTGGTGGTTCCCAATGTCACCACCATAACAAGGCTTTAATCTGGCTCAGTTTCAGAATATATTTCAGCAAAGCTACATCTAGATTAATAAAAATTCTTCACCCCGAAACTGGAGATTTAATTTGGAAGATATTTTTAAAAGCTATTTAAGCTCCCGCATTGAGAAACAGCTCTATATATAAGAGACAAGAGATGGCCTTAAATTCAAGAAGTTCACTTTTAATCTATGGGGGGAAAAACATGGTTAAACTAATAATGTTTCATGTGAAATATTTACTGTCCATTGAATGTTGTCCTAATTCTATAAATGGTGAAAACCAGCATGAAGTAAAGAGTAAGCAACCATTAACACATTTTAAAGGTCTTTTGATTTCCTTTTCTCAAAACTACTGCAGTGCTTATATGCATATATCTACAGCATGACTAACAGTGGCTGCTGTAAATATTCCTCAGAGAGAAGAAAGTACACGCAGCAGAAGCCAGGAAAAGAGCTGATAAAGTAAATGTGCAATCTAAAATAAAGCCACATTCTGAAATTTGTCTCATTTTCTTATACAGAAACAAAAGCAGCATTTGTGAAGGTTATCAATGCTGCCTCCACGGAAATAAGCTTACTATTCTAGTGCGCTGCAAATGCAATTTAAATAACAAGCAGAAACCTGCACTAGAAAGTTCTGTGCACAGTCTGTGCAGACACATTCATCCAACAAATAGATTTTTCTCTTCAGACTTAGAAGAACAGCAGAAGAAAGAATTTAAGTGTTTGTCCTTAAATTACACTTTTTAAAAAAAGCTGCTTAATGAAAGTTCATGATAAGCTTTACAGAACTGCAGCAGTAATATTGTAAGAAAAACTCTGATGACAGGGTCAAGGAAAAAATTGCCTTTATACTGCTGAGTAATGGTGCATTTTCCGCATTTCCCATATTTTCCCTGAATGCATTTAGGTATTCATTTGCAAGCCTAGGAAATCCATGCTTACGGGTGCAACAGGAATATTTTGAACACAAAGTATTAAATCTAGATTTCTGACGTAGCCAACAACCCACCCATCCCCTTCCCTCCTGGCAACCTTGGCAAGCTGCAGGAGATGGAAGCCAGTCAATTTAATCTTGCTGCTCAAGGGGGCCTCCTGAAGAGAAATGTACAGGTAAAAAATGACAACTGTGCTGTAGAATTATTTCAAAAAGCTACAAGGGGTAAATGAAGGCAACAGTTTATTTGCTGGGAAGGAGGACATTGCTGATGGAACCCAAAAGGTCAAGTGAAAAATGCTGTTTTGCAAATGTGAGACAGGTAGATCAACAGAAGAAAGTTGCCATCTCATAACCCTAGGAAGATGGGTGGCAATTCCTTTCCAGAATTTGGGCTTCACCAGGACAACATTATTAATCTTGGATATCAATTTGTGAAGGAAGACTCCCTTCAACTTGTAGCTATCCCAAAAAGACAAGCTTTGCTTCGGAAAACAAGTAAGGTTGCAGAAGGGACCCGATTCTTATTTGGTGGTGTGAGGTGACAAAAAGCCATTACACAACGTTGCAGACCAGGTTTTGCATCCTTGCTTTGGTACGATCCAGAAGTGAAGCACCTCTCCTGCCTCCGTCTGTTGTCTCTTACTTCGAATGAGGGAGAATGAAAAGAGCTAAATGGATGTGTTACAGCTTAAAGAACTGATGATAAAAATCCTCTTAAAATATTTGTATTTTTAATGTATTGAAATGTGATTAAGTTTTGAAAAAAAAAATCTTCTGAAAATAAAAATCCCTTGAAAGCAGCAGCCAGAATGCACCAAATATATTCTTTAATCATATATTAAAGCAGCACATATTTGCTGGCAAAGTTTTAAGCAAATTCAGCTATCAAGCCAGTGAGAACTGGAAGGCTGTGCATAGCTGAGCAAGTTTGACAGCCCTGGCTTCACGCATACAAAGAAAAAAAAAATCCACCTACAAGTGCAGCAGAAAAGGACTGTTTTCCAGTAGTGGGTAAGAAATGGGGATATGAGGGGACTGCCTCTACAGCAATAAAGCACCAGCAATTTACCATAAACATTTAGATCTTTTTCTCAATATTATTTATGTTCATCCTTCTCTCTTAATATTTTAGATTTACAAATAACAATTTGTGAATTATTTTCACTGAAAAGATACTTGACACATTCTAATTTTACTTACCAAAAAGAAAAATGTAAGTACAATGATTACTACCTAGCTTACGCAGACATATATACTGACCAACTTCAGAGAAGATCCTAGGCTAAACCAATGCAAATCAACATTTAAAAAATGAGGAGCAATACAAAAGTGAAAGAAGGCTAAAACTGTGATATACTTGATGTTCCCAAAATAACTGCATAAGTTAGTCACTGACTTAAACTCAATGACTTTAAGGTCAATCCAACCATTCTTTTAACATAAATAGCTGTACTTATAAAGAGGCTTGCTGAAAGTCGTAAACCAACCTGTGATTTTTTCTGCTGCCCAGTACTTCCCAGAAGTCTCTAATATCCAGGCTTCTTTTCTGTCCACGATCAGGAATGCACTTTGGAAAGTATGGCATGAATTCCCATCTTCGTAGTAATTTCCACCTTGTCCATGCTCCTCCAGCAAAGCCACAATTACATCCAGTGCTTCTTTAGCTGTTGCACCTCTTTCTAGGCCAAGTCTGCAAGAAAAGGGGAGAGCAGAGATCCGGACAGCGACGTAACAGGGAAGTCTTCATAGGTTATTGATTTTAAACAGCAAAAATGATGTGGCTTAAAATACTAAACTGTCAAGTCTGCCAGATACAAAAATTCTTTCTTTAACAAGTTGATAGAACTACAGAATAAGATATAAAATTATTTGCCTCAAGTTTTCATTTTCTGCATTGATTTCTTCATTCTCAAGACTATCATAGCTGGTATTTAGTTCTTAAAAAGACCAGTTACTAATGAATGACCTAGTCCATGTTCTAAGAGTACAATCTTCATATATTCAGACAGAATAAATTTGAAGGACAATTTTTAAAACCCCTTCTAGAATAACAGCAGTACATAAGCTTACTTCTTCTGTACAGAACAGTGGAAAATTAGAAATTAATACTACCAGAGAGAAGGGAAGGAATATTTGACATTAGCATCCATCTACAACCTCTCTTTCCCAGTGCTCAAATGCTTAGTAGCTCAACATGCTTTGGAAGCTAAATGCAAGTTACAGACCAATCCAAGACAAAATGCAGTGCTTACTGTGCACTGTAGACAGAGATATTTGTGCACAGGCACAATTCAGTGCTCCTGCAAAGATGCCCCAAAAAAGTAAGCTGTTTGACAAACAGAACTTGAATACCTGGAAACAGGTACAAAACTAAAATTGCAGATATGAATAAGACTTCATTCAGATACAGAATAATAGTCTAACATCTCTTATGGGTAGCATAAAAATTTGCATATAACATACGCACATATATATATATGTATACACATACACACAAAAAAAGCATGCACGAACTGCATAGAAGATCAAGGAAAACCTACTGGAAGCAAAAAAAAAACTAACTAGAGCAAATGAGAAATTGTATTTAATCTTTTTATCAAGAGAACTGACATCAATTAAATACAAACTTGGGGCATATTTATACATAACAGCTATATATTCATGAGGACACTCCATCCTTCATTCAGCACTCCATCAAACAATATTGACTTACGAGCTGTAACTCCTGGCAGTTATGTTAGCTGGTCTTTATGCTCACTTTCCAGGGAATCTCAGAGCTGGAAAAGAATGAACTGGACCACTTTCCTATGTCTCAAGAAAGTACTACTTAGCTTCTAGCGTGGAATACTTGGAGTAAGGACTCTCATTCCCATAAGATTTCTAGGTTTGGGAGAACAGTTAGAGGTATGGGCTGTGTCCAGTGCAGCTGAGGAAATTCCCTTACCTGAGAAGGCAGCCTAAGAACACAACTATATCTGACCAAGACATCACAGTGCACCATTTGCCAAATAATCTCCAGGGAAACAAGGTGCAAGCAAACCCTAAGGATTAAACACATCGTTAGGAGAGGGCTAATTAGCTTACTCCCATGTTGTGCACCTCTCCCAAGGTCGTGTAGCCTCACAGACATATTCTGTAGCACCTTATCTGATGCTACAGCTGTGCCATGGGCCTCCTTAAGCAGTGCCACCTCCAGCAGAGGTTTCTAACACAGGTTCTGTGTTAGGCAGTCCCTGGCTAAGACAGCAGAGCCTTTCTTCACTCACTGTGTTATCAGGCAATGTGTAACTTTCTTTTCCTATCACCAGGTGTCAAAGTACCTTAAATTGCTTCTGCTTTCAGAAGTGGAGGACAAAAAGCCACTTAGTAGAGCTCTTTAAAAGAAATATTCACAGGCCATCCAGTGGTCATTTGCCTAGATCTCCACTCAGCATTTGGAATGATGAGCATCCTGGTGTTCCCTAGCGCTTTTGTCTCAGTCACTTCCACTAAGACTTTTCTTCTTCTGAAATTCAGTCTGTTTTTCTTTACTGCCTCTGGGGAATTACCAGCATTCACTTAAGTAGTCTTCCACCCTATAAACGAGACCCACTTTTAGAAGGGGGGAGCAGTCAAATCAGCATTCAGCTAGATGACTGTGCCCCACTGGGAGGGACGAAGCAGGGAGGGAGATGTGGGAACAAATAATGACATGTGAGAACCTTGAAAGCAATGGCACAGCGAGAGGAGAGCAGCCAACGCGGATTTATTAGAAACAAGGCTCATCAAATTCATCTAATCTCTTGCTATAACAAAATGACAGGATATGTTGACAGAGAAGGAGCCATGATTTTCTGTTTTGGCAAGCTAGGCAAGTGTGAAATAGATCAAAATATACAGTAAGTGCAAAAGTCATTGGGGTGGGGGGAACATCCAAAGAATAGAAGAGGCATCCGAAGAACATCAGTATCTGTCAAAAGGGAAGCACAAACCCAGGAGGGCTCATTGAACATGTCCGTTTTGTCGTTCACTGTTTTCACCGTGTCTGTTAATAAACGACCCACACGATCACACATCCATCTCTTTTGGAAAAGATGCAGAAGTTGCCCTCGACCAGGAGGCAGACCTGGGCCAGCAGCACGGCACGCCACGATAGAAAAGAACAGCTACCACACTGGCCAGTGTACAGAGCAACGAGCAGAAGGCAAGACCTCCAAGGTACAGGGAAATTCTGCTCCACTCACTGCTTCGCTGAAATGAACATCCCTTATGAGACGTTCGGCGCAGTTAGACACGGCTTTTGTCTGAACCAGGAATGAGCACGTGTCTGCAAGAGCACGATTTGCAATGAAATACAAACAAAGGTATTTCAGGCAAAAGAAAACTAAGGTACAAGAACAGATTTGGCAAAGCTACAGGGAGAGCCTGGATCCTGCCTTGAAGCAATGGGATGGAACAACCTGCTGAGGCACCTTGCAGCCACGTTTAAGCCGATTAAGAAAACACTAACCAGAAGAGTCCAAATCAGACTGTAAATTACGCCATTGAAATGATCCCCCAATGCAGCTACTGATAATTAGGATATGCAGTATTTCAGACCACGGTGTATCATGTAATGAAAACAACTTCCTATTTCCTAAGGGAAGAAAGAGCACCGAATTGCATCACCTCTGTGATTAGCTGTATGTATTTAACCACGCAAGCAGCCTGGAGAAGTCTTGAAAACCAAGATGTTCAACAGTTGCTGCATTTGTATATGACTCCACAGGAGGAGTGATCTTGACATCCCAGGAATTACAGCCTAAAGACAAGTTAGACCTAGGCTTTGCTTTTGCGTGGGTGCTCCTGTCTTTCAGTCATGAGGGGTAGAAAACAAAAACTCAAAATGAAAAGGGTCTCTGCAGAGCAACCACGCAGCTCATGCCCAGGAAATCAAAGGTCTTGCCAGTTGTCTCAGCATCCATGTCCTGGGAACTGCAGCACCCCCTTCCAACCAATATATTTCAGGGCACTCGGCAAGGGCCAATTGGCCAAAGTTTTAAGTTGTTTCACCCCCGGACAGGACAGCTTGAATTATTCCCTAAGAAAATTTCAGTGACAAGACAGTTCACCACCTCAGTGCCTCCAATAACGTATCACACCATATTATAATCCTGTCAAAACAATATTCCCTTAAAGCTTTCCCAGTTTACATCTCAGTTACAAGGGCAGACTTTCCAAATGAAATAACATATGAGGACAACAATCTACACTGTTCAGTTTTTATTTAAGGATAGAAATTGGTAAAGCCACTTTTTAAGATAGGATTCCCAATTTATAAGGGCATATTGAACAGTTTTTTTTCATTTGTATCTTTTGTATGATAACATTGTTCTGTTCTATCTGTGCCAGCACAGGCAAAACAGTATGGCATCCTTCCACATGAATGTAAAGTAGGACCAACTGCTACATTCATTCTCTCAAGTCGGTCACACGACCTGCATCCATTTCTTCTCAATCATTCATATGTTCAGACACAATGTGTTGCAAGGTACTGTTAAGCTAATGATCTGCAGATACCTGTTTTACTCCTCAAATACAGCCATATTAGAAAACACACCATTACTACTCACTAAGTCAGCATTTGGTTACTAAGAATTCATGAAAAACACCTTTGCTGGTATCCATCAGGGTCTCTAAGGAAAATGAAGTCTTGGCTGTGAGTTTGCAGGACGCATTTTCAGTTTCCCATTTCAGCAACAGAATGTGCTGACTTCAGAAATATATTGCCAAGCTGCTAGATGCCTCTGGCCTGTTCAACTGAACGTGCTCTCAAAGCATCCACCTACACTCTTTGCCCATATGGGCTGGAATTTGAATCCCAGCTTAAAAGTGACAATTTGAGACAAACTGCTGACAGGCTCACAGAGACAAGAGGTCTACCCTAATAAAAAGGGCATTCACCTTCAGGAGAACATGGGAGTCGAGCGTTAAGGGAGCCTCAGCACTCAAGGCAAGCTCTAATTCTGCAGTCTGTGTGACATTCCTGAGTTCACACTCTTTAACGCCTGCTCTGAAGAACACTGTACAGAGTAAGATGCTTTTAGCCTCTTTTCCAAACAGCTGAAGACACACGTGCACACGCTGCTACTCTTAACCCTGCAGCTAAGATCTAACGTAGACGCAGAAGTCAGACAAACGCATAGGTGTGAGCACAGCATGGCCAGCAAGTGTGTGCATTTTGAAGCAGATTTGTGTGCGTTTGAAGCTCTTCCATTTATTTTCCTTCCAAAAAATCCTGAACGGCGGAGCTATCAAGTACAAAATCAATCACACAGGCTGCAGCGAAGCAGTCGGGACTCTTTCCAGCCATCTGCAGAACAGGCCAACTCTCTATTTCAAGAGGCCATCCAATACAGGTAGCACAAAGCAGCCAGCCAAGGATTCACAGGGAGAAAGAGAATAGCTTTGGCTGCAGGGACACACAGATGGCAGCCTGCAACTCCCTCTGCAGCCCTCCTTGCCTGAAGCACTCACCACCTTTACGCTACAATTTGTTCTGCAGATAAGATGGTGGGGAGGGAGAGTAACACCCCCAAGCCAGACCCGAAGGTTGCTCATGAGCAGTTTCTCTTTATTTTGGTATCTCTGGATTTGCTGATATGGGTGCATGCAGAGCTGCTGGGTGATGTACCTGCTTGCATGTAAAACAGTATTTTGAGGTTATATTAGCCTTATATTATTAAAATAAGCAGAACGTTGCATCTAAAGCAATGATTTGTTAAAAGATTAACAGAGAGAAAAGAGAATAGCAGTAGGGGGAAAAACAAGGCAGGGAATGCAAAGTCACCTTATACATTCTTCTTCCTGAAGAAAATTTGTCCTACATTTTCTCAAACTCCCCAATCTAGTGATTCCCTTGATACAATTAAATTCACTAGTCCTCCCATTTACAGCTTCTCTGTAGATACTAGAGTTCAGAGTAAGTACCAGAGTCACACATAATGCCAATTCCTTCATGCTTTTCTGGTGGTTCAGAGTCTCTAGATCCCTGGTCATGCTTCCCAGTTTTCTCCACATTCTCTCCAGCTGACACACATCCCCCTTGACTTTTGGCACCTGGAACCAGCTCCTGCCATCTCTGCAGGGACTTCATTAGAGCCAGGGAACATTTACACTTACCATTTCAGGCAGCTATGCACCTGACAGGAACTTCATCTACCAATGCTTCCCATCTTGCTTATGAGAATGCCAGAATGCTTTTTAAGGTTTTTATGGTCTCTTTTAAGTCAAAATATCTATCCTATCCTCTCCATTTTTTTTAACTCATTACAGAAAGAAAATAGAATGATTTGACAGGACTTTTCTTGACTAACAGTGAGCACTGCGAGGTCATCTCCTTGATATTTAAGGGCTTTTATTTATTTATGTAATTTATTCCCTCCATGATCTGAGGTTAAACTGGACTATAACCCCAGTTTTGGGCTGGTCTGTAACACTAGTGGTTATGTGTTTTTGTCTCCTTCTACCATCTACCAGCACATCTAACCTTTTCCAGTCAACCAGAGCTTCCCCCTTTTTCACTAATTCTTACGAAAAACCAGAATGCTTCTGAAATTGGCTCAGCCTGCTCATTAAGCACCTTCTGGCAAATTTCATCAGGCTCACCTTGCTTGTCTGACATTGGTTTTAATAAGCACTGACACTATCCCGTTATCCCTTTAAAGCAAAGTGAGTTCCTTCCTCCCTCTCCCTTCGCGATAAGTTTGCCCCATGCCCTCTTGATCTTTCACATCCACCCTTCTGCCCCTACATCCTTCTTCAAACCCTCTTCACTGCGAGCTCAGCCCGCGGGCCAGGCGCAGAGCAGCACGAGCCCTTGCAGCAGCCGCCCTCCACCAAGGAGGCTCCCAAACCAGCACCTAAATAACGGCTGCCCCCGGAACGCGCGGGCTGGCGGGAGGAGACAGGAGCTTGGTTATGCCCACGCTTGGATGAAGGGCCCTGATGAGCTTTTCAGGCTGGAGGACGCAGTTTTAGAGGAGGGCAAACTGCAGAGGTTAGTGAACTCGCGTTAGGCTTGAGCAGCGCATGCTGAGCAGCCCACTTCAAATACCACGCGCTTTAAAATGCTAACTCAGCTGTGCCTCGAGCCCTGCCTAGGCAGGGCCACTCCTTATATTGCTTGAGAACTGTTTCAAAACGCCAGCACTACTAAACCACTGCCCAGTATCATCACCACCATCTAACCCTTTATTGTTTAAAGGCCGGTCACAACTCAGCAAGGCACCAACCTGACAAGATCCATTCCAAGCAGGGCTTCGGATTCGGCAGCCGGCTCTCTGGTCACGACGGCTTCGTTAGCGACACACACTCCGTGCTCGTTAGCTCCCATTTCGGCGCCCCAGAGCCAGGAGGGCCGGCTCAGCACCACGGCGTGCGTCCGCGGCGCCTGCTCGATCTCAATGTACGTGCACTGCGGTGGGGAAGGGGGAGCGGGAGGAGAAAAGGCCCATGCTGTGATTACAGTAACACAGGACTTCAGTGTACAGAAATTTACATCCTGAATATAAGCTTCAATATAATATAGTGGGGAAGGTTTTTTTTTTTTTTTAAAGAATATTTAACTGTCATGTTCTGACCTTTATGTCTTTATACTGCAGAAAGCCTGGGAGAATACGTCTATTTTGACAGTTACAGGGTTCACAGCCATGCAGAACCCAAGCACGAGAGACAGCAGAAAGCAGCACTAGGCAGACTATCCTGTTCCCAATAATAGGTCGTTTTGTGCATAGTAACAAGAACAAACAATTCTATGAGGTCACCTAGGTACAGGCTGGGGCACTTTATTGAACACATGGCACAATAGCAATAACTGCATAAAGTAGAAGGCCCCTTACCCACCCCTTGCTGCCTCCTCTGCTGACCAGACCTGCTGTCAGTAGAAAGAAGAAACTCAAAACTTGAAAGGGTTCTGTGGAACGCCTGGGTAAATGTTCACAGGAAGAAAAACACTAGTATTGTTTTTGCTTAAAATTCCTGTTTTTGCCATTTTAAATGGCCTACTGTAGTCAGTGGTCTGTGGATATATTCTGTCAGACAAAAATACAGAGGAAGGCCGCACAGAAGTCATTGAAAAAGCAAGGAAGAAAGAATCCATTCATTATCTTTCACATATTTTCTCTTGCTCTAGGACTCAAAAATGAGCACTGTTTTGCCAGGCAGCACAGAAGAGAGCTTGATTTATTGCTGGGTCATTTGCCTGTGCAAGCCAAAGCAGCATTCTTTACGTTTTAATCCTGAAGTCACATTAAGTTCTTCAAGGACTAAACTGCACAATTTTCAGGCAAGGCAACCAAAAGTGATGGCAGCATTTATGGGAAAGCTCCCAGAGGCTAGTGTACCTGGCCTACCACTTTCTAGGCTGGAAGGAACTTGCGGTTACTTTCTGGGAGGAATCAGTTCAAGATTACCAGCAGCAAAGGACTCTCTTTTTTCTAACCACTGTTTCCCCACTGAAGGTTACGCAGCACAGTCATTTTAAGGCTCCAATCTTGAGCAACAATTTTATAGCAATAATCAGTCTACAGTGCAATTAAAATGGATCATCTTTGCTCAAAGATGACACTTTTAGAGTCCTCTACTCTCTGACCACGCAAGGACATGAAGCAATAAGTCTGCTACCTTCATAAGGAACTGCATGTGAACGGGCCAAACAGCTGGCAATCTATAAAGCTCGGCAACTAACACATGAAATAAGAGGATGATTTCTCACAGCCTCAGCTAAAGTGAGAACAACTCCTCTGTTCTAATGAATTAAAAATAGTTTTGTTTTTTTTTAAAAAAAAACAATGTATTTAACTTTGATTTTTGGCTTAAGCAATAAGACCTAAGCAGAGAATTATCTGCTGTATCTGTTAGAGAAAAATCTCTAATACTTCACCAAACTAGAAACTAAATTGCTTATATAGCAATATACTCTGACTTGATAAAGATGGAACTCCCACCCACTGAGGTGCAGAGACACCCAGCATGAGCCAGGAACCAGGAAAATCCAGCTACTAATATCATCATATACAGTAAACTTTGTTTAAGTTTCAAACCTTGCCAGGACAGAACAGTTATCTGATATCAGAACAATATCTCCAGATAGAGAAGACTTCAGTACTCCATTAACCTGCGCTTGCATGACATTCTCCAGCTAAAACCCTGCTGTAACAGCTTGCACTTGTTTTATTTACTAAACTGAACCAAACCAAGCACTGCCAGTGCCAACATTTCTTATAAAGATTTTATTGTTAGCAGTAGCAACCAAGGAACATGAAATAGAAATCTGTCTGCTCAAAGGATCCATTCTGCAAAAAGTACCTTTGCTTTATAACTGTGTAATCAGGAACAATCCCAAGGCCCTCCCCGCTTATGCACCTTTTTCATTTATGAATATATTTCTGTCTATAGCAGAGACAATTGGCTTGCATGGTCAAAAAGTCAGAAAACAATTTTCTAGACATAAGAGTGTGTTAATGGCAGGAATAAGAGGTGGGAAATGCACAAATATAGCTATGTCCCTGGAGTCAAGACACAGCAGCCCTAAAGGCAATTTGATATTGAAGCTGCTCAGCAGATACGCAGCGCAGCAGAACGCCGCTATCTATCCCGCAGCCAGGAGATCACGGCCCAAACAGTGAGGGAAGGAAATGGAGAGGGAAAGACAACTCTCCACCTAAAAAACATGTTGGCTGCTGGATCACTAGAAACAGGGCTTCAGATGAAGACCTGCTTCCAATAATAAGCACAAATCCCAGCCTCCCTGTCCCTCCTCCTGCACCCAGCAGCTTGGCAAACCCTTGCAGCGCAGCGGCGTAGCAGCCTGGTCTGGTGAGAGCTCTGCCAAGAGAGGCAATGACAAATCAAACAGACACCAGGTACCGCTGTGACCCTGCCTGCCGCCCAACGCGCCTTGAAATTCCGGACGTCCTCTGCATCAGGGTTTCCTAACACGAATATTTTCATTGCAGTATAGATGTGGAAAACGTAAGAATTTACTACTGATACATTTGGTGCAAACAGCTGCAAGCGAGTGAGGGAAGTGCCAAACTCCATTGATTTTCTAGAACTCCAGGACTGAAAGTAACAAAACTGGCATCATGCCCTGTGATGGCAAATTCAGATCAGGAAATACAAAGGTAAAGAACAGAGATTTCACATGCAAGAGATGCACCCTACATCTTCGAAGATAATTGAGCAGGCTGGAAGCTAAAGACTTCTTTTATTTTTTTTTCCCCACTTATGATATCAAGAAAAGAATCTCATCAAGGCAGTTCTAAATATATCACAAAGCATAAATGTACCTTCCCCCCTAGCTAGGGCATAAATCTATGCTGGAGACATTCCAAAACCAGAGAACACAGACATAACACAAGAGATTTCTTCTTTCATTAACGAAAAGCAACTATTGTGCAGGCTCTACTGCATTCAGGCTGCAGAATCCTGATTCCTAGCACTGCCAGCCAGGTCACCATGAAATATCAGTGAAATCACAGGCTTCAGCCCTGCAAAACAAAGGCAATAGTCAGGGAATGCTTTAGAAAGAACTTGAAAAAGGGCCACAGGACTATAGATTACAGAAGAGATACCCCCTCGCCACCCCCTCCTCAGATCCATACTCTTTCTGCATTAACTCTTTGCTTAGCTACCTCAAGCACTGCAGTATGCTGTGCATGTGCTTGAAAACGACAAATTGTCTATCCTGTCACAGTAATTAGAGAAGTTGCAATTACAGAAGTTGCATCATGGCTGTTTTCAGCTCTCTTGTCCAAAAAAGGGATGGCAAAATAGGACGAGGCCACCCTGCATCTTGCTGTCTGCACAGTCCTCGTCCTGAAGCAGTTGGCCTGGTTGGAGCTGGCTGGACAGGCAGTTCCATGGACAACACGGGCTACTTGGGCATTCCCACACCCAAAGTGAAGGACTGCAAAGCTAAAATACAGCCTGATCTCTGGAAGTGCCATTTTGCAACTTGGTGACTAAGGATGAGAGACAAGATTATTCTAGAAAAGAATCATAGAGCCTAGAAATAGCTGAATGATTCCCCTGTGAAAGGGCAGAACAACACGCCCCGGTTACTCTACCAAGCTCCCAAGGACCCTGAGGCCTGTGAGCCAAGCTATGGAAATGAACTCGGCATCACGAAACATGGAAGTCTCTAAGCAAACAGCACACCAGTGAATGCAGCAAGGCACCCCGGGCAGAGAGCACCCTCTGGAGATGCTGTTTGCCAGAACCAATCTACTAACCAAGATTTGTCCCTTGTTTATGCAAGTTAAAAATCCATCAGTTTCCCGAGATTGAGGAAAAGTGCTGAGAAAAAAAAATATATGGACAAAGATTATGAACATTGCTTTCTCAGACTGGTAAGAATCAGATTTCAAAGAAGCAACAAAGCCTGTCGCAAAGATACCCTTGCTGTTCACAAATATCCTAGGGCTGACGGCTTACCCACTTGGAAATTCCTGCTCCCGGACACATTCTGCCACAAGCAAGCAGCCTGGGTGAGACGATAGCTTTTTAAAAATGAATAAGTAAATAAAATAAAAATTCAGCACGCTCCCTCCTCTTTCACTCTGCCCCAGTTAAAAAAAGAAAAAAGAAAAAAAAATAAAGTCAAAGAGATTAAATAAAAACCTATCATTCAAGCTAAACAGTTCTGCTTTGGCAAGCAAAGGGAGAAAAGCAGCAGCACTTCTCCTGTAAAACCACAGCCTTGGAGGGCTCCAAAGCAGCCAAGAGACTGGTCTGTGCCTCTGCACCGCTGCCACTTGCACGCTGGGCTGCAAGGCAACCGCAGGCACATTAGCAGCTTAAAGGCCAGAGGCCTGCAATGGAGCAGAGAAAGCCTCAGAAGGAAACAAAGCACATCAGAACTAAACTGATTTGAATGAAACCTGGTGATTATGTTAAAAGTTACCTGGAGGTATCTTAATTCTAGCAAGATAATTCTAATGAAGTCAAAATCTACTCTGCAAGCATTGTACCTATGTAATAACAGCAGAGACTCCTGAGTTAGACTCGAGTGAGTTTGCACATCTGAGTGCGCAAAGAAATGCACAGCAAAAATCTTACTGCTTCTCTGGAGACAGACTCAGAGCAAGGAAAGAAAGGCACGTATCCTTTTAAAAATATGTATTTTAAAAGTAGACAAAAATGTCTTTAGGGCATAACTCCCATGAAGGTTTAGAAGAGAAACTCTCTCCTCCCTCACACAGGGCAGGCTTCAAACGTAGCAGAGTATTTAACACCAAGATAAGAGAAAAATCTTGGCATATTCCACAGTTTGATAGAGCAGTTTCTCCAGCAGTGGTTTCTCCCTGAGCTTTGCTCTAGAACATCCTTTCTCCTTTCCCAGCTCCATTCCCCCATAAAGAGTTGGGTGCTATCGACATAAGGAGATTTTACACCTCTGCCCTGTAGCAAGCAACCACAGCTGTTTTCAAATCACAGCTAAAAGGACCAGATTAGAAGAAAAAGAGTTTGATACAAAAACAGACTCGAAAATTAAGCCAAGACAATTCAGGAGCAGGTTACCAGATAACAAGAGAAATCTGATCAGTGAAGTAAACCTTAATAGTGAGGCTCATGCGGCATCTTAACCCTCAACATTTTCAAACAGCACAAATTATTTACTAATTCAAAACAACATTTAAAATCCATATCTGCTGGGGGAAAATCCTCTATTAAACGTCAATGTGTGGAATTCAGAAAAAGAACCTATTTATGCTTAAGAAAACGATGTGTTGCCTGCGTGCATGTGTTTATAAAGTGCCCACTATATCCAGCAAGAATGCTGATCAGCATCTGCCCCTGCCAAAGCGCAATGCAAAGCACGAACTTTTGAGAAAGTTGTCACACACACACACACACACAGAGCAATCAAAATGAAAAGCCCTGTTGTTCGGGGTCTTGGGAACCTGCTGACACAAAGGGAAGGAATTATGTTGATGAGTTAGCTGCAGGGTTACTGTCTAGTGGGCTGTGCCACAATGATGAAGCTCAAAGTGACTGTGCTATTCACCAAACACCCCTTCTCCTTGCTCAGGGCCCTGCCACAAACTGGCTGGTAGTGGTTTTGCACAGCCTGCCAGATTCCTTTAAAGCGATAACTGCTGCAGTGTTTCTGGATGCATTGGGCACTATCACATTTCCAAACGCCAGCAGCACAGAACTGCAATAGGATGCAGACTTCCTGAGGGAGTCTTAGGAAACAATCCCTGTTGTAAGTGTGCTCAAAACCACCACTTAATGGGGCTTCGGAACATGAGAGATGGAGTCATGGAGAGGTAAGTCAGATCAATACATGCCAGATTACATTACCTGTGCAGAGGAGAATAAAATGAAAAATAAGCCCACCATCACTACCCAGGGAAAGCAAAGGATCATGTGTTATAGAAAAAAGTCAATGCAAAGTCACATTATGGAATGGAGAGAAAAGCTGTTCAATGGACAGGACGGATGAGAGGTATAGAAAGTCTAGTTAGAGAAACAAAGGTTTATTAAGTTGGAAGAAACAGCAGCATGAAACTGGTTAATTACATTTGGGGGGTTTGTAAAATGTTATACATTTAATTTTTTTTTTTACATCTACTTAGTTTCATTTTTATAAAATGCAAGAAGAAAGAAAACCACGGCAAAAACCACAAATGAATCATTGGCAATTTTCATAGATTTTGTAGAACAAGATAATACTTTTGAATAAATCAAAGGTTACAGCTAGAAGCTTTGACAAACCTCTCCACTCCTCATATCAGCTAAGGAATTCTGACATTTCAATACATTTAGGAGGGGTTTACTCAACTTTTAGAGGTGCCATTTAATAGTACTCAGAGGATTAATAAGCTGTGCACAAGCTCAGCACATAGGTAGCTAAGTGCATCTTTGTCCTAAGACAGAGCAGCGTGCTAAACAACATTTCTCCTGTAGTAAGAGAACTATGAAAACAGTTCAGCTAATTAACAAAAGTGATCAAAACCTTATTTCTATTCTGCTGTCATGATCAGTTAGTAGCTTTAAATTTCAATACACAAGCTAGTCTCACTAATCAGTATCAGTCAGTTTATAAAACAGCAAAGCTTACAAGCAAATACCGCAGCCCAAAAATTCAGTTCTAGAATCTGTCCTGGTGTGTTGGCTGGTTCACAGTTCCTACAGTAAAGGAGATTATTATGATGCCTTTTGAAAGACCTTGAAGTGGGCAGTTTAAAAAGCAAGGAAAAGCAAGCAAAGAGAGAAAGAAAGAAAGAAAGGCTTATTTCTAAGTGAGAAACCCCTCTATCCAAAACGCTAGAAATGTTTGTGCGATTGAAGTCTATAAATATTAAGGCAGAAAATAGCTTGAACTTTAAAGGAAAACTGTCAAGTAAATCTATGCTTCAATCTCCCTGAAGGAGAACAGCTACAAGGCTGGACAAGGCTGCCTGACAGCTTTTAGCTCCAACAAACCAATCAAAAGCATTAACTTATTTTAACGAACTTCCTAACAAAACTTTGTGCTGAATAAAAAAAGTGAGGAAGATGCATGATAGATGATTGCTTGTGCTGTTTCCAAAGGAACTGAAGAGTTTTTTGTCCTGGGATGGGAAGAAACAGGGAAAGTTTAGATGAATGCCTGAAGCCACGTGTCTTTGTACACCACTGTACATGCAAAACCTCAAGCTGGCTAATACAGAATTACGCAGTAGATAGTAGATACACTGGGCAGAGACCAGGGTACCCACCTACTTTGAAAAAAAAAAAAAAAAAGATATCAGCCCACTCGAGTCCCCTGTAATAAAGGATCTTCACTACACTGCAACAAAACTTAACACAATTTAGAAAACAGCGTTCGAGGAGAAGGCTTGTAAATATTGATTAGCAGAACAACCTATACAGAATGCAGTCTGCTGGCAAAGGGATTGTATATCCCATTTCCAAAAAGTCTGAAAAAAGGGAGTCCAGTTTATAACTGAATTCTGCAGAGGACTTTAAACTGGGGAATACTGGGCTGATATAGGTGTTCACAAAGCACTGTATACAGCCACATCCTACCACAAATAATGATGATCTAACCAAAGAATGGGGCAAAGAGACCAAGAGAATCAAGCCCTCTAACACTGAGCTCTTACAAAGCATTATCCTTTGAGGCTACAGAACTTCAGAGCAGCTATACGCTTCTAAGAAGAATTTCCAGTAAGAAATTTCTAATAGGAAATTCTTCTTCCATATTAGCAGTATATTATTTTTCTTCATTTTCAGTTGTGAAGAGAAGTTTCTTCTGAATAGAAGCTTTTAAAAACTGCTCTTAAGCTTTCTTGTCTTCTCATTGTCACAGCTGTGCTCTGCTCACAAGGGCAGGGCTACTGCAGTGCCACCCATGCAGCACTGCACTTCACAGCAGTTACTGCTTTTGGACAAGGGGAGGGGATTTCTTTACATCCAAGATGAAAACATTTAATAATGTATTTAATAATTTGTTCCACGTGTCAGTAGCAATTTGAATCAAGAGAGTGTTAACTGCTTGAAAGAGGAACGGCACTAAGTGCTCTGCAACTCACAAGTGGTCACACTTGGGGGGCAAGGGGGCACTGGCCTTGGGAGCTGTTTCAAAAGAGATCTCTAGGGAGGAGACACATCAGCCTGGAAAAAAAAATCTCTCCAAAACCTGACAGTATTTGCTGGACTCTGAATCCTCTGCTCAAATAGATATTTCCACCTCTTTCTTCAGTCTTTTCATTTCACTTGAACTACACACTCGCCTCTGCTCCTGTCTTCTCGCCTGACTCATCCCCTTTGTTCACCCTTCCACATTTGTTTATCCTTTCATGTCTCCTGCCTTTAAAATGCAGCTGCAGTAACAGACTATAATTACCATGACTTCCAACAGGGCCTCTCTGAACTTGCATCCTTGGCATCAGAGTCCAAATTCAGGACTCCGTATCCAGTCTGGGTTCCAAGCGAAGCCACAGCACTCAAAATGAGCAAGATGCAGGGGGCTCAGCTAGAGGCTACGTCTCCATGACAAACTATACAAGAATCATATTTGGCTTGCAAATCTCACACGCTTGTTTTTCTTCTCTCCCATTTCTTCATTTATTTCCATTATAGCCATAGATCTCTGCCTCAGAAAGCTTGCAATCCTGTTTGCTAGAGGCTTAGCAAAGTCAGGGTCTGTTGTCAAAGAACAACCATGAATGAGAAAACTAAAACCACAGATGATCAACTTTGGAAAAATTTCTGCTTCCAGTCAAGCAGCAGATTTTTTTTCCTTAAAAATAAAGCAGTCTCTGAGCTTCACTGTGCAAGTATCAGATCTGAGCAGTTCAGGCTGCCTGCTGGAGAAAATACAGAGTCTCACTTTGAGGATTTTCAAAAACTTTGTCTCCTCCCAACTCAAGGGCTGTTGGAGTGAAGGGAAGGAGGACGCCACAATCTGACAAGAAAACGGGGCAACTGTCATTTCCTGCAGTGATAGTCACAGTTTGAATGTAACAAGCGACCCTTACCTCAACTTTACTTCCCGGATCATGAGCCGCAGCAGCAAAGTAGACAACCTCCTGCACCTCATCCCTGGGCCGCGCAGAGTTCTTCCCAAACACCACCAGCCCCTCTTTAGAGCAAGGGGGGAAGGCCACAAAACAGTAACTCGGGGGAGCTGTAGCCATCCTGGAATGAAAAGGATGAGAGTAAAAATAAGTAAACAAATAAAAGCTAGTGTCTGCTGGTTGAGTAACTGCAGGTGTTAGAGAACCACTCAGTTTGCCATCAATTGTTAAAAAAAACAAAATAAAAGCCTGAAAAATCACTATAATTTCTGTTATTAAACCCAGACAAGCCTACTCTGAGTTGGCCTGTTTTTCACTGTCATTGCACAGCCAACTTAAACATAAAGAAATTATGTTGCTTTTTAACTGTAACAATTGGTGGCAGAGAGCTTTTTAAAAAATAAAAAATAAAAAAAAAATAAAAACACACTTAAACATTGTGAAGGCCTAGAAAACAGGAGAAAAGCCATCATGACAGTTCCAATGGATAGGGAGAGGATATTCTGCACTGGAGCTGTTCAGGAACACATGACCTAGATGCAGATGTTCTGCTGACTCAGACAAGTGCAGAGAGGCAGGATAATTTAAAACAACAGAGTCTCATCGCTTCCGTGCGGTTTAAAATTTATAAAGGAGAAAAGAGAAAATATGCATGAGGGATCCCTGAGGGGGGGATAACAGTGTAACAGGAAACAGAAGAAAGATCTAGCACACTTAGCACACAAAGCTATCTGCCAATTCATCTACTCAAATCAGAGAGAATCTGAAGCACTAATTGCACTTTATTTCCTCTGTGGTTTGTCTGCATTGCTGTTCTTATCTAAAGTTAATTGATTGCAGTTTATTTATGTGAACACTCTTTAAAATGCTCAGAGTAGCACAAACATTTTAAGTGTTTATAATGACAACATATTTAAAAAAAAAAAGAAAAAAAATGCATTCTTTCAGGCCTCTAGCACCACTGTAGCTTGTTTCACATATGCTTACAAAAGGGAGAGGTAGAAGGATTATTGCTTATTAAAATAGCATCCGACACAGATGCCTACTGATATCATTTCACAGAGCTTATCACTGTATCAGAGATACCCCCCAGAAATGAAGTCCTCCTTCCAGGGTACCCTGGGCAGGAAAAAATAAAAAAATACATGGGGACTGCTGAGACAGAAGCTATGCAATCAAAAGCTGGGTTCAGATGAAACCTGAACACAGGGGCTATGAGAAAAGCACATAAATTAAAGCACTGTCATAGGGTGAACTCTAAACCTCCCCCCAGCTTTTCAAACACGCTCCTGGCTGCCCTAGACCCTCACTGCTGTTTCCAGCCCAGTGCAGATGCCCACAAAACCAGAGGTGGGAGCTTCAACACTAGTTTCAGCTCAGCTTTCTGCAGCACTTTCAGCAGAACAGCAGCTTTTCTGAGCAGACAGCCTACCTTTCCACCCTCAACGTGGACAGTTTTAAAGTATGACTTACCAGGAGGGAGGAAGGTTGTATATATTAAAACATTAGAGAAGCAGAGGGCATTCATGAGGTTAAAAGCACCAACTACCAGATCTGTTCATTCCCGCAGCTTGGGAGTCTCGTTAACAGACCTCCCTCAAACTGGCTGACTCCCTCCCCACCTCCCCAGGACTTATTGATGGAGCTGCCACATCCTACAGAAATACAGCCCAGCTCTGACTGCCTGTCCCTCCAGCCACCTCTGAGACGAGGAGCTCAAGCAGTAACTGCAGGTGCTGAAACTTCTCCAGCTTCCGAGTCCTTTCTCATCGCCATAAACTAAAAAGGTGAGCAATGCAAACAGTAAAATTGATTCTTAAAAGCTCTGCTACATTTAACTTAAGGTCTCACAGAAGAGGAGATCCTCCCTTGAGTTAGAACTGAGAAAGTTCATTCTCTTTCACTTCCTACTTTGCTGAAAAAGACTCAAATTACAGCAGAATGAACTGCAACATTTTGGAGAAAATCAGCAAAATCTCAAATTTCTAATCAGAGTTGGCACAAACATTTTTACCCAGTAACTTTACTTTTTTGGGGGGGATTTTTACAAAAAAAAACCCTACACATGCACAAAGCCTACTTGTATTTCAAAGCTTTACATATATACTCCCCTCAGTCACTTTACTGAAAAAAGAAATCACAGTATGTCTGGAAGGAATAGAAAATATTTGTCTTATATGGAAAAATGTGAGACCTTCCTGACAGCACTTGCAAGTTGCAAGGCTTCTTAAATTCGTCCAGGAAAATAGATATTGGACATGAAGCACAGCAGAAGCCTTTCACATCAAAGTCTACACCTGCTACTGTATTACCATAGAATGGTAAGAATTTAACTGTGAAAGTTTACAGTCCCCTAACCAGCCAGTTCCATTTTAAGTGCTTAAAACACCCTCAACTGCCATTTCAGAGCAGACATCTTTTGAGAGAAAACAGAATCTCATTTTCTGCCTCAAGAAATCCAGAAGATGTTAATGAAAACTAGTTCTATTTAAAAACTAATCAGGTTCAGCCATCCAGAAGACAACCGATTTCACTCTCATTTCTGTCACAGAATGGAGAAATTCATCATTTATACAGACTTTTCGCCCTGCTGCTACCAATGTACCTAATTAAGCCCCCGAGCAGATTGAGGCCGTTATTCCAGCCTTGTCCACAGTGCTCTTTGCAGGGGTCTCTGCAGCCGTTTTCCTGCTGCTGCTCCAGCGCAGGAGTCGCCATCCCTCTCCTCACAGCCCTGGCTAACGCGCCCCGACGGGGCAGTCATTCCCAATTAGCCACTGCTGCGTCTTGGCAAGGGGTAAAACGGCAAGGAAGCATCGAAGTACCTCGTGGGAAGCCTCCCTTGATTTTATCCGAAGGGCAGCAAGTGTTGTGAGGACAGCAACAGAGTTTGTAAACGTTACCAGGCATTGCCACGCTTTGTCCCAGAAACCCGCCGTTTCCGTGGGTTTCGGAGGGGCAGGAGCAGAGACCAACTCTGCGCAGCTCCTGCTCCCGCTGCGCTCGCGGGAGGAGAAACCCAACGCGCCACGGGAGCAGCCTCCGGCTTCCCGGATCCCCGGCTCCGTGTTCAACGCGGCACTTGCGCTGGGAAGCTTCTCATACAAACTCCTTATGGTATGAGCTACTGCACTTCCCCACACACGAGCTGCGGTTGTTTCTCAGGGACAGGGTGGGCAGCCAAACCCAGCAGCTCCTCACAGAAATACCCAACTCAGAGAGAGCAATCAAATAGCACATCCTATTTTACCAATAAAAAGAAGTTACAAATGTCTTCAAAGCAGGAAGCTACCCCAGACACCTCAAGCTCTGAGAATCAGAAATACTTTTTTGGGAATGAGGAAAAAAAAAAAAGTCATATAAATAGAGATATTGCAGCCAGGGCTTCTACCTCAGTACAGCATCGGCCTTTTCCAGCAGTCTGTTGTTGCATCAGTGCTGGGAATAGCCTATATGTATTATAGTCATTAACTGATGGGGTCGGCTACTCCGCTTCCCCCCAAGCCCATGCACGGATGATCTTTGGAATAACTCAGTGTTATTCCAAACATTCCGGTTGGTGTTTCACCACAGCGTCTCCCTGGCCTCCCGCTCGCCCGGGGTGACTAAACCCAAGCCTCGCATCTCGGGCTGCGGGAACCTTGCGCCAAAGCGGCTTTTAGGCACTAAAAACGCACAGGGACCTGCCAGGGCTGCCTCCCGCCCGCGGAGCGGATGCAAGGCGAGCCGCGAATACTGCGGGAACTGCCGCGAAAGAA